TTCTGATAATGTTCCTTATTCAACAGATTTGGATTATATTAACCTTGCGTATAGGTCAATGTATTCTCTGTGGAGAGAAGAAGACGATTTTACTTCAGCTTCAAAACTAGAAGAGTGGTTCGAAATGAACATCTGGGCCAATTTAATTGATCCTGCTTTTCGTGAGATGGAAATTGATTTGGTGCGAGAAGGGATGTGTTTATCGTCAAGCGATAGAGAAAATATTGATAGGTCTGATGGGATCTTTAGATTACGCAAAAAGCACCTTGAATTTGGCGCAATTGAAGCTGGAAGAAACCGGGAGGGAACAAAGGGAACCAAACTCTTAACGGATTCCTTAAAAATGTCCAAGATGCTTAAAGATATGATTAATGCACTTGCAACAGAATGCAATATGAAAGAAGATGTTTTGAGAAAGTTACAAATAGCTGGAATTCTCCAAGGAGCGAATATGATGCAAGTAATTACCGTAGATCTTCCGAAGGGATATGTTACTCGTATCCATCGTCGAAAATTTTATGAAGTTCCTGGTCGTTTAAACAAGAATCAATCGCTTGGATTAATTATAATGGAGGTTTTATTCGTAAAATCTGTAATTAAGCAAGCACTTAACTTGATTAATGAGTCAGAAGTAGATTTCGAACATTTTCTTAATAACTATTACGAAAATGACGGATTCCAGACACCCCCTCAAAATATTGTATCCCTCATCAACTCATATAACTCCTGAAAAAAAATGGGTTCGAGATCTTTAAGATATTAGTTATAGTGAATGTGAAAGGGATGAACATGTGATCCTATTTTTTTCAGTGAGATTTGTCAAAATTTCTGAATTTTAATTTGTATTAATGTATGTGCAGTGTGTCCTTGGGAACCTAGCGAAGTTTAGAAATAGAATATGAAAATCGACTACAAATTGTAACGCGTGATGTGACAGTAAATTTCCCCCGAAAATTTGTGACATGCTCGACCATCAGAAAAATAGTATTCGATAAAATAGGCCATTATAAAATCAAATACATCAAATCGTATAATACTAATGATCAAAATTCAAGAGATTATAAATTATTCTTGTCAGAACGCAATACAGACAATGCAGGATATCAAATTTCATCCGAAATTTCCGAGACCGAACGATTAGAATTAAGTCCCGGAAAAATCATACCTGAAATAAGTGAACCAATTGCAATCTCTATCCCATAATATCACACCTCTAGTCATTCTGTGTCTACCTCTTGCAATTCGGATGATATAACTGAGAAAGACAAATCTTTACCCAATGAAGAGGTAAATATATCCGATTATTTCTTAGATTCTGATTTAAATGAAAATAGCGATAATGAAAATTTCTCTGATAGGGCAAATTCCTCCCTTGAAACATCCTGCTACTTACATATATAAAAAACTTCATTTATGTATTTTGTTATAATAAACGCGATTTGTACATGTTAAGATCACACGAGAAATAATTCGCTAATCAGACCACCGTTATACGTATTGGTTTTTTACAAAATATAAGTAAATCCTTTACTAATGTCTGAAAGGTCTGATTACTTTAGCTGAGATCCTATGAAATGGAGCATTATTGAATTTTTAAGCTAGAGCCGTTTGAAGCAAAAATTGATTTATACAAAAACAAACTCGAGCAAATCATTAGTCGTGATTGTGAGCAAGATAACAGGAAGAAAAGAGCCCGGCTTCTGCTTGATAGATATCAAAAGGCATGTAAAATATCTTTTCATTTGGAGTGTAGGTGGGATAAAGCGGCTATTCGAGTTATCGAGGGCCAAAAGCTTCTTGCCGATCCAACATTGGACCACACTGAGGCATATAGATCTTCTCGGTCGCGATGAAAATTGAATTTGTTAAAGGTATATACAGTATGTGTAAGTTGCAAAATCTAAGATCCTTATAATAATAATCGACTAAGCTTTGAAATGGATTTACTGTAAATTGGTCAATTTATAGAACTTATACAACTGAAGAATGGACCGAATATTGCTGGATGCCACAATTCATGTTGGTGTAACTCCTGAAGAGCGGAAACAAAGAATTTGGCCCCGTTTAACATATTTTATAAAAATGATCTTTTATCTATTGGAAATAAAAAAATATTTTGATGCAATAAAAATGATACGCTTTCAAGATGGTACATCATCATATGCTTCTAATATAGGATTATCTTGCAACGAATTAGTATATACTGGATAAAAAATTAAAGCTATAGAGAATCGTTGGAAATCTACATGTACAAGTAATAAATATTGTGAACTTAAGTATAAAGACTTTTATTATGAGTTATGGGTAGCAAAAAATGCAATCAAAAGACTTAAACGTGCAAGGGAAGTAGGGAAAAAGATGCGACCATGCATACTTATTCAACATAAATGGATAGAATTTATGCATCATCCCAATGGTTTAATTGTTAAGCAGTTAGCAGAGCATTACAAACTTTTGTGGACTATTCGTGAAGAAATGCGCCAATATCAAGAAAAGTCAAATTTTGAAATCAACTTATAAGAATCATTCTGTCAAATATAAATAATACTTATATTAATGAACTCAATTTCTTTTTCTAATTCAAGATGTGTATCCCAATCCTTTTCTAATTGCTAAAGGATTATCAAAGACTATAAAATTTCTATTCCGTAAATATTTATCAATAATTTTAGATGCTTTTTTGGATCATCCGCAAATTAGCGTAAGATACGAGCAAGATCTCTGCTTCCTCCATTATTAAATAACACAAAATGGCTTAAATTTTCACGAATTATCTTTGGTACAGCTTGATATTTCTGGCTTACATACTGGTGAAATGTTTTGATGACGTCCACTAATAAAATATGGAATAATCCAATATTGAACTTTTTTTGATTTTCCATTCTGATGAAAATTTAATATCAGGAATCTTATCAAGTGCTATTGTTTTAAAAATGTGACATCTTCTCTATATAGTTTTGGACTATTTATGAAGATCTGATAGACATTTTTAACTAAGTTCCATCTGTGGGTTCAGGATGTTTTCCTATCAATACAAGGTTATCATTTTTTATATATCACTCATCTTTCTTGCCTTTAAACATTTTTTGTTATTTATTGCCTAACATAAGATTAATAACCATATTTATTTTTCCAGTATGAACCTCTACAAACTAATAGCCTAAATGAATTATCTGATAAGAATTTATTTCCTTTTATTTATTCTGATAATATAAATATACGGTACTATATGGGTATTTTTTCTTCTTTTATTTTAATTAAATTAAATATTATAAATATTATATTAGAAATAATAATTAAATTAAATAAGAATTAAAGTTTTCTTTTTTTTTCTAATATATTATATTAATATAATGTGTTTTTTTTTAAAATATGTTTAATATAAGAAAAAAGATTACATGTATAATATATTTCAAAAAGATCTATATCTTGTTTTTTGCATATATCCCATTTTTTATTATTATACAATTTCTACATATTTAAATCTTCTTGTTTTTTATAAAACTTTATATTTTATAAAAACAATAAATACTATAAAATTCAAATATTAATATTAATTTTTTGTTATAATCATTTAATTGCATCCTATTCAAAAATTATAATCTATAGAATAAAAATTTTTTATTTAATAAGTTTTTAAAAAATATATCTACAATTATATATGTGGTGAAATTAAATTCAAACATTTTTCAAAAATTGTATTATAGTAGAATTACTAAGTAATATATAGTAAACAATTGAAAATCATGTTTAATTCAAAATTATATTGGTGATTAGATTTTTTTTATAATAATAAAATCTATATATATATTTATAATATTATTTATTAATATAGTAAAAGTAAAATAAATACTATTCAATTTTGTTATAATCAATAAATATAAATACTTAAATTAATATTTTTATTCTAATATAATCAAAAATATATATTTTGATTATTAATTTGATAAGATTTTTCAATATAATATTTATTATACTTTTTAACATATATTTTGACTTAAGTTAGTAAATATTTACTATATTTATTATAGTTAAAATTATATTTAATAAAGATAAAAAATAATATATTATAACTAGTGAATCAATAGTACAGTAAGTAATACTTTCTGGTCTCCAAATGCATGTTCCTAGTTCAATATTCACAGGAGACAAAACATATAAAATTTATTCTTCATTTGTGAGTTTATCAGTTTTCCTACAAATGTCATACTCCAAACATCCAGATCCCGACCAAATTTAGTTAGGCTGTATAAAAATGGGATCTTTGATCTTCCTGACGATTGTAGATTGAAAACAGGTCGAAACAGGGAAGGTTACACGAGAAAGGCTTTTGATTTAACTCTAATAAAAGTTCACAAACTTCCCTGGCATGGCAGATTCCATAGCACAAAAAACACTTTAGTCTGGGGCTATTCCAATCTGGTGCTTGCTTAAAAAAAAATGATTCCTATAAGGAAAGTTGGAAACCACAAATGATGATAAGAAGTATAGTACCTTCTCTGAGGAACTAGGCAAAAAGTATTGAATAGATTATCCAGGTATTCTAATCAACCTTAAAAGGTATACGCTCTAAATGACAACTACCAGAATCTAGATTAGATTAGATAGTTTAAAACTAGTGATAGGATTTCTATCTCTTAAAGATCCCATCCAGTATATGGATTCACTTCTTGGATAAATAAATCCATATAACTGGATAAGGCTATAGTGGAAGTGCAGATTAACTTAAATGGATCTTGTAGTTATGAAATTGGATATAAATCACTTAATAAAGTTTGTGTGCTATTAGTGCTCTTTACTTGAAAAAAAAAACAATAATATATTATATTATATTATAAAAATAATTATTATATTTTATCAATTATATTTTGATTAGATATTGAATAAAAAATTTTTTAAACTTAATTAAAGTTAAAATAAATAAATTTAATATTAAAATAATAAATTATTTATTGAAATTTCAAAACCAGACAAATAATAGAAGCTATCAATTCTATTCTAATATCAAACAACAATTCTCTATCTATATTGACAATATAACAAATATTGAACTTATATATAAAATCATATTCAACATTTATTCCATCTCAGATTTTAATTTCTGATTTAAGGTATCAATTGAAGTCTTAATTCTTTCTTATAATCTAATTTGAAAACTATTATATAGTATAGCAAACACTTACCATTTACAAATATAAAGTAGAACAAAATCAAAATTCAAAAATAACTTAATTTAAAATTCAATTTTAGCCCTTATAATATAAACAAATCAATATCTTCACAAGAAAATAATCTTATAGTAAACATTCCAACTCTTATTATTAAAACATTTATTCAAAGCAAATTTAATTATTTTTTATATATTTCAAATCTTATTTCTAAATATTATTATTTAATCTTTTCTAATTTTGAATAGGCTTAACAGCTATATTAATTTAAAATATCTTTTCTAATATAAGTTAGATGATTATTATAGGAAAGTTAGCATTTAACTTATTGTAAAAACATATGAAAAATATTGTTTTTTTTTTAAAAAATATTTATTCATATAATATATGAATTAATAAAGAAATAATATTTTTCTATTCAAAAAAAATAAAAAAAGCTATTCTATATAATTTAAAATATAAAATTAAGCAAATTAATTTATACAAAAAAAATTTAAAAACAAATATAATAAATTTTAATTTTTTATACAAATTAATCAAAGTTTAAATTATATTAAATATTATATTAAAGTCAGAACACTATTAATAATTCTATAAATATTATAAAAGATATTAAAGGTTTGTTAAATACTATCTATTATAATTATTAAAAATTATATTAGAATATTGATAATATTATTATTTAACAGAATAATTGAAATAATCAAATAATATAGTTGCAACAAATATTAATTATTATAGACAATAAAATATTAATCTTCAAAATTAAACAATCAGTCAACTCAAGATTAGATAATTTATAAATTCAAATCAATTAGTTTATTCAAATTGAATAATTATAGAATCAAATTAATTAATTTACTTAAAATTAAAATAATTTATAAAATTAAATCAATTAATTTATTCAAAAAAAATATTTTACAAGCTTAAATAATATAACAATAATAAAATCTTGATTATTGAATTAACAAAATATTAATTTTGAAAGATAAATAGAAAAAATAAAAAAACATTACAATTTTTAAAAGCAAAATAATATTTATATTAAAGTTTAAAAAAAAATGCATTGATATTTTATTATTTGATAAGTTTATATTTAATTTTAAACTTTAAAGATATTGAAACATAATAAAAAATTATAACAAAAATATAATAGAATAATATTTATAATATAATATTATTTTGGTATTAAACAAATAATACAATTTTAATTGTTTTAAAAAAACTCTTTCCTATATATATCCATATTGACAAAAATTATTAAATAAGAAAATATAAAAATTTCTTTCTTCAAGAGAAAAACCAAAGACCCTAGAGAAACTTTACCTTTTAAAAATTAAGTAAACAGTCATAAATATATTCTGCTTAACATCCTTATTATTAACATTCAAAATTCTTAAGCTATAATCATTTATAAAAACACAAAAACTAATAAAGTTACTGCTATCATGTTAGCCCGTTTTCCCAAGCTAGACAATTGTTCAAAGTTTGGCTTACACCAATTCACTCTATACAAAATGAATTAAAAAGTATTAAAGTTATTAACACTTCTTTTGAAAACTATTAAAGAACAAGAATCTCACTAATACAAACCTTAGTCTCTATTATTCCTTGAATCAATTTCACTAGAAGATCTTAACTTATTTTTAGACTTTCAACATATCTTTCAAATTAATGATAATGATAAAATAGATATTATAAAAGAAATTGTAAAACTTGATCTCAACTATACATATAATAAAATTAAATTCAATCATTTTTCAAAAACCATATTATGGTTTTTGAAAAATGGTTGAATTCAATTCCACCACATGTATAGTCTCAACTATGGCTTATATATTTCATAGAAGAAGCTTAACATTATTATCTTTGAAAAAATCAAACCTTTACTCTGGACAAAAAAATTAAACTATCTCTATTCCTTCCAAACACACTTGTATCAACTGAGGAAATAATTAATAAAATAAGTAATGACAATATTATACAATCTGATTCTTCTTCTGAAACATTTTTATATCTATCCTGAATCTATATTACCTTTGGACATTAGCTTTATGCAAATTTCTTGTAACTCTAAAATAACTCCTGCATATATCTTTTCTTCTTTATATAAGCCCAATAATTAACTACACAACATATAAAATACTTCTGAAATAGAAATTGATAAATAATCTATACAAATTCAATCACATATACAGAACATTTCAAGCCCTACATTCTGAGCAGATAAGGTTAACTCTATACTATCAATTTCATCCAATATCCAATTATCCAATAATATTTATAGCACCATATCAAAAACTGAACAAGCAAAAATCCTTGACTATTGTAATGATATTACCAATTGCAACAAAACTTCAGAAACCATCGTCAATCTCTTTATCAAATTTAGAGATAATTCCTAGATCATTTTTAAAAATTATCTTCTTAAAGATCAGATATAAAGATAGAGATTTTTTCAGAATTTTTATTAAAAACAAACTAATTAAAAAACAATACCAATTAGAGTATAAAAAAATAAAAAACAAATTCAAAGCCAACTATCTTAAAGCAAACAATATTGGTTACATTATCAGAACAATAAGGAAAAAAATCAAGATCATTATTAACAAAGTATTTTTTACAGCCTATTTTAAATCAACTAATTTTACAAAGCTAAAATACTGGCAAGTCATTTAACTATTGAAATATAACTTCAACTTTTTTTTTGATTTCTTACTCACAAAAATAAATTATTAAGAACTATATAACAATATAATAAACTTATTAAAATGAAGTTATCAAATCTTTTTGACTCACTTAATGAAATTTCAATATCAATTAAAATTAAACTATTAAAAGCCATATTTATTACCTCTCCAAAATTTATCAAAGAAATAACAAAATGTTTTAGAGCCTATTATAACTTTGACCTATTTCCTTTTCTTTCTTTATGCAAAGATCAAACCTTCTAAAAAATCTAACTGATCTCAAATCTGAAGTACAAGACATCTTTCCCATCACAAATAGAGCAGACTTGAAAAACTTATGTAATCTAGTCAGCAGACTAAGAGATCATTATTATGTTTCCAACAAATTATCTGAATCATACTTCAATCTATTATCACCCAAATAGCTTCTTTCTCCAATCTATATAGAGTTATTGAAGTATAATATCACTATTTTACAATAGACAACAATTCAGAAAAAATCTTGGAAGCCATTCAAATTCTTAGAGACAACAATTTTGTTTTCAAAAAACTACTATAGGACTATATCAAAGCCAAGAGACCTCTGCCACCAGCACATTGATACAATAAAAATAATGACAACATCTTATCTATTAGTAACCAATATAAAATCAAAAACTTTATTAAACAACTTATAAACAAATATTTTCTTAAACTTCTATTAGGTTTTGAATGAATCAAAAAAGATTTAATTCAATTAGAAAAACCCAACATTTCAAAAAAATTCTTTATGGTAGAAGAAGAGCTAGAAATTACAAATGATAATTTTAATAGAAATCATTTTGATTTCAATTTAACAATTAAAAAAATAAAGAATAACTACACAGAAAAATTCCTAGAGAGTGAATCTCTCTGCTTCTGCTTGATCTTTCTAATCTAACCACTGCACAAGAAACATTCAAATTTGATGATACTTTTACAAACAAAATCAAACTTCTCAGAAAACTATTTCACTTTGAAAAACTCTTAGCAGAATTCTTATTGAACCAGATTCACCTAACTCAGACTTGACTCTGTTATTCAAACTTTTCTAATCATAAGTATAACAACATTTAACTCAAGTCAATCTTTTAAACATATTTCATCCAACTTATCCTATTACATCCATTTTTTAAATACCAATATATACATTTTCTCTTCATCAATTTAAAACCAAAATGAATTTACAAACATCTCTAGTAAAGCACATCTCATTACAATTTCAGCACTCAACATAAGAGGCTTTAATCAAAAAGAGAAAATAAATAAACTTATTAGATTATTGAAAAATAAAAGGAATATCTTCTACTGTTCAGAAACTAAAATTATAGACTTGAATCTTTTACCAATAAAAATTAACAATAAAACAATAATATTAAGTAAATCAAATAATTTAGCAAGTAATGGAGCATGCTTAATCTTATTCAATAAAATCTTCAACTATATTTTTAAAATCTATATTTACAATGAGTACTGGTGTGCAGTATATCTCAAGTTTAAATCCAAAGTTGATATTACAGTTATTTTACTATACCTACCATATGAAAAAACAATAAGAAGAATAATAGATAGTTCAATTGCAACATTTATTAAAAAATATAGAGCAAAGCATATAATTTTGATTGATGAATTCAACTCATTTCCAAAAGATTTCTTCTTTATTAATATATCTATCATTATAAATAAAGAAGAATTTATAATCATCTAAACAATTTCGTCAATATAGCCAATATTACTGGAAAAACACATCTCTTTATTCATATTATTTTTACAAGTGTGTTAAGAATTGATCAGATCTGGTTAACTAAAAACCTAACTAGCAAAGTTCTTAACTATAAAGTTTTTAATCAAATATTAATTTCCTCAGACTATAAATAAATAATCATAATTCTAGATTAGTTTGAATACAAACCCAACAGAATTTTTTTTTCAACCAAACAGTTTCAATTTCATGAAGCTATCAAGGAACAATTAATAGTAATGCAATAAGTATGGTTCCAAAAATTGGAATCGCATGGACTCGCATATATATAAAAAACATATGTGGGTTATAATTCACCTATTAAATTTACTATAAGAGTTGGAATCAAATGGAATCGAATACAGAATCGTTAGGATCCTTAGCAATAAGATATTGAGCTTATATGTTTTAACACAAACTTGATATTATAGAAAGATCTAAACAAGATAATCAAAAAAGTGATGAAAAATAATATATCTATGAAAAAACAAACTACTTCAATCCAATCAAACAGAACCTATATCAAATATAACTATTTAATCAAAGCTTTAAAAAAGTCAATAGCATTCCTTTATAAAGAAAACCAATCAATATACTTATCTTTACTTGTCTCTAAAATAATCAACAAATTAGACAATAGTTATCTATCTATCAAAAACATAAGAAAAGCTATCAAAATTTTAATTCAAGAAAAACTTTTCAAAACAAAAGAGCTATTAGTATTAGAAATCTATAAGAAAATCAAGAAGAACTTTACAAAATTCTAAAAGAAACCCAAAATAGTTCTCAAGAAAGCTTTGGAAAGATATCAAACCTTCCTTAGATTTTTTTATCTTATTAAATAGTAAATAGCTATATGATTATTCAGACAAACTCATTGAAATAATTATTAACTACTTTATAAAAATCTTAGACAGCAAGCTCTTTATAGTCAATAAAAAATAAGCAAAAGATTATAAGAAAATTAAATCCATATCAGACAATATTTTTGATTAAGTAAGAAAAAAAATAATAAAAGAAGAACTTGAGAAAACCCTTCAGGATTTCCCTAAACAAAAATTTTCAGATTTAATATAAATTTCATATGAAGCTTGGATCAATCTTGATCTTCAACCAAACATCTTATCAAAAAACTCTTTAAAAAAATTCTAATTATCAGTACTTCTCCCAAATATTGGAAGCAATCAGTAATCACTTTTCTTCCAAAGAAATAATATAGTTACATAAGCTTATTGATACCTAACCTATCTTCCTAATTAAATCCAGCAGGAAAATCTTTATAAAGATTATTAACAAGAGATTAACAAAAATTATTTGCAAAATCAATTTATTCTCAGGCATCAATTATATTGGACTCAAAAATTAAAATATTATGAAGCTAATTACAATTATTTCAAATGAAATAGAAACAGCCAACAATTTGAATAAAGAAATATGAATTGCTTCTTTTAATATCTCCAAAGCTTTTGATTTAATCAATTTATAAAGCTTGAAAGCTGCCTTGAAATAAGTAAAAATTCTTAATAGTATTACAAATCTAATTCTGAATCTGCTATATAATAGAAAACTTAGTATAATTATTTACTACAAACTAATCAATTCTCTAGTAATTAACAATAAAATAGATCAAGGAGAAATTTTAGCACTATTATTATGAACGATCTTTTACAAACCAATGGTTAATAAAATAGTAATAACAACAAATCCTATCACAAAAATCTTAATATATATGGATGATATAGCTTTGGCCAGCAAAAACTCTTATCTATTATAGCTCACAACCAATATCTTTTGCTTATTCCTAAACTTAAATACAATCAAATACCTTGGAGTCTATATCTCAGGAAAGTCAAGCTTTTTAGCAATAAAAAAAAAACTAAAAAAAAAAAATTGTTAATATAATAACAGTAAATACTTGTTTAAATAAAGTCTTGCATTTAATGTCTGTTTGCAATTAAAAAAAAAAATATTAATATAATTTATAAATAAAATTATTGTACAAGAAAAAAAAATATAAATAAATAAATATGTTAAGCAAGGTTCTACTAATTGAAAAAAATAATAATAATAATTTTTTAAAAAATAATAAATAAATATAAGATTTAAAATTATTATATAGTTAATTAATTTAAAATTTTAATTATTTTTTAAATTAATTTTGGTTCATATATAATTGTTTATTTTTAATTGAGTTCAAATTTTTTATATTTTAAATAAAGTTTTTACACTTTAAATATATATCTATTATATATACTATTTTTATAGTAAAAAAACAAAATAGTAAGAATACGTGTTTTGTCAAATATTTTAACCGTTTTGTCAGATCTTTTAAATTAAAGTATAATTAACCTTATATAAATCTCACCTCGCCCTGTCAGAAAATGTTAGGTATATCCAAATATTACAATACCTTTTTATAATGCGTGTTTTATGTATAAAATATAATTTATTTGTAGCCGGTTAAAATTCATTTTTCTTGCTATCTAATAAAGGAGCTCAAGAGTGATAGCTAATAATATTGATGTTATTTCAACGAAAAATGACCAATAATAATAATAATTGATAAAACTTTTTTTTGTCTTTTAGTCTAACAGATCTAAATCAATCTTATGTGTATAAGTTTAAAATAATCCAATATCTTCCAACTATATATACAATTTCAGCATGTATAACATAATAGTATTTAAAAATGCCTATTGATATTAATTCCAATATGAGAGATAATAATAATATTGTTGTATCAAGAGACATTACACCTTTTTGACTTATCACGTAGAAGGGAAATGGTAATAGCAATAGAACTAAAGAAATGATATCTTCATTGGTTATTCGAACCGCGCCGAAGCGTCTATATTGATAATGGATATTTAATTACCATTCATGACGATAAGATCAAAGTTTTTCCACGGGGCTAACGACCGTCAAGTCGGGGTGATTTAAGGGGAGTCCATAATCATGATATCAAGTGTATCAATATGACCAAAATGTTGCAATGCCGAAACTGCCGAAGAAACACTTGACCTTGTCCCAGTGATACGAATTTGTGAAAGGGCAAATTGCCTAGGATCAACATCAACACCTAAAGCACTAACAGTTGCCGCAATATTAGTGGTTGTATCAGCGGAAGCACCCGTCTGTTTATTCTTTTCCTCTTCAGCAGCTGCACTGGCTTGATCACGTTGTATGGCATCTTCCATAATGCGGATACGTTTTTTCTTTCTATCTTCTACCCAAGCCATATAATGGTTACCACTGATGACTTCGTATTCTCTATATGAAGATTTAAAGTCAAGAGTCCAGAAAAGAACTTGGTTGTTATGACGTACGTAGACTAATCCACTTTGGACACTGTCAGTCATCCAATTAAGATCCTTACTAAAACTGAA